ATAATAAATAAATAAGAAATCCAGAAAGAATACTACTGTGTAGTATTGTCTGATTATTTTAAGATACATTTGTGACACTCCTGACACCCAAGTATTCATCACTGTCATTTAATTAGGATATGTTTTGTACTAACTATGTCTTCTGACCAATCATTCCATAAAAAGGACAAGTAATGTTAATGGCTTACTGAGGAAATACAAAAAGCACAAGGATTTTCTTGGGAGGTATGAGTAACAGAAACCTCTCTGAAAGCACACTATACAGTGGGAACCATTTGACCCAGGTCACAATCAAAGAGGTTTCCACCAATTGGGGAGTAGTTATAAAAGGGGGACGATGACATCCTGAGGGGACCTTACTGTCCTTACACCACCATACCTGGAACCATCTTAGGAGCATAGACTTGAATTGTGGTAAGTGAGGAAGTCAGAAAGAATCACCAGGAGGAACGAGCAACAAAGGAGGACTACTGATTCAGATGGAGAAGGTGGGGCGATCAACTGGTTATCTAAGGTGTTTGTACACAAATGCGAGAAGCCTGGGAAACAAACAGGAAGAATTAGAAGCTCTGGCCCAGTCGAAGAACTATGATTTGATTAGAATAACGGAGACTTGGTGGGATGACTTGCATGACTGGAGCACTGTCATGGAAGGGTATAAATTGTTCAGGAAGAACAGGCCGGGGAGAAAAGGAGGAGGAGTTGCATTGTATGTAAGAGAACAATATGATTGCTCGGAGGTCCAGTATTTAGAGGGAGAAAAGACCTTTAAGAGTCTATGGGTTAAGTTTAGAGGTGGAAGCAACAGGGGTGATGTTGTGGTTGGTGTCTGCTATAGACCACCGGATCAGGTGGATGAGGTAGATGAAGTTGTTTTTTGACAAATGAGAGAAGCTTCCAGATCGCAGGGCCTGGTTCTCATGGGGGAATTTAATCACCCTGACATCTGTTGGGAGACCAATACAGCAGTACACAGACAATCCAGGAAGTTTTTGGAGAATGTTGGGGATAACTTCTTGACACAGGTGCTGAAGGAACTGGCCAGGGGCCATGCACAGCTTGATCTGCTACTCACAAACAGGGAGGAACTAGTAGGGGAAGTAGAAGTGGGTGACAACCTGGTAAGCAGTGATCATGAGATGGTAGATTTCAGGATCTTGACCGAAGGAAGAAAGGAGAGTAGCAAAATACATACCCTGGACTTCAGAAGAGCAGACTTTGACTCCCTCAGAGAACTGATGGGCAGGATTCACTGGGATGTTTACGTGAAGGGGAAAGGAGTCCAGGAGAGCTGGCAGTATTTTAAAGAAGCCTTATTAAAGGCACAGGAAGAAACTATCCCAATGCGCAGCAAGAAAAGCAAATATGGTAGGTGACCAGATTGGCTTACCAGGGACATCCTTGGTTAGCTTAAACTCAAAAAGGAAGCTTACAAGAAGTGTAAACTTGGACAGATGACCAGGGAGGAGTATAAATATATTGCTCAAGAATGCAGGGGAGTTATCAGGAAGGTGAAAGTGCAATTGGAATTACAGCTAGCAAGGGATATGAAGGATAACAAGAGAGGTTTCTACAGGCAAGTTAGCAATAAGAGGGTGATCAGAGAGGGTGTGGGGCACTTACTGGATGAGGGAGGTAACCTAGTGGCAGATGATGTGGGAAAAGCTGAAGTACTCAATGCTTTCTTTGCCTCTGTCTTCACGGATAAGGTCAGCTCCCAGACAAATGCACTAGGCAACGCAGTATGGGAAGGAGGTAGACAGCCTTTGGTGGGGAAAGAACACGTTAGGAACAATTTAGAAAAGCTAAACATACATAAATCCATGGGCCCAGATTTAATGCATCCGAGGTTACTGAGGGAGTTGGCAAATGTCCTTGTGGAGCCTTTGGCCGTTATCTTCAAAAACTCGTGGAGATCAGGAGAGATCCCGGATGATTGGAAAAAGGCAAATGTAGTGCCCATCTTTTAAAAAAGGAAGAAGGACAATCCAGAGAACTATAGACCAGTCAGCCTTACCTCAGTCCCTAGAAAAATCATGGAGGGGATCCTCAAGGAATCCATTTTGAAGCACTTGGAAGAAGGGAAAGTGATCAGGAATAATCATCATGGATTCACGAAGGGCAAATCGTACCTGACCAATCTGATTAGCTTCTATGATGAGGTAACTGGCTTTGTGGGTATGGGAAAGTCAGTGGATGTGATATACCTTGACTTTAGCAAAGGTTTCGATACAGTCTCCCACAATATTCTTGCCAGCAAGTTAAGGGAATGTGGATTGGATAAATAGACTGTAAGATGGATAGAAAGCTGGCTAGACTGTTGGGCCCAATGGGTAGTGATCAACAGCTTGATGTCAGGTTGGCGGTCGGTTTCTAGCGGAGTGCCCCAAGAATCTGTTCTTGGACCAGCTTTGTTCAACATCTTTATTAATCACCTGGATGAGGGGATGGATTGCACCCTCAGCAAGTTTGCAGATGACACTGTTAGCTGATGGTCAGGGCAGTGTACGTGTGTGTGTGTGTGTGTGTGTGTGTGTGTGTGTGTGTTACCGAGAAAAGGTTTAACGTCCGTGCCTTTACTGCTAGGACCGGGGTCCCATCGTGGAGGGCAGCCAACAGGCTGACAGACACCCCAGAATTTATAGGGAGAGCTTATTACATCTTAGATTTCAGCTGCTAGGATACAGGATTCCTTCGCAGTGGGCAGTCTAGGGAAGACTGAGAGATGCCCCAACGGATCTGTCACCTGGGAGTGACACGATCCAAAACGCCCAAGCTCTTCCTATACCTGTCCCTTATGACTCGCTGAAGTTCTTTTAAATTGTGCTTGGTTCTGTTACAGCAACTAAAGGAGTCAGACTAAAGCTTAAACAGTTACAGGTTTATTAAAAAAGCTTATAAATCATATGGTTACAATGGCTATTGCTCTCTTTCTTAACTGCTAGCAAATACAGATCTTATGGTTACTATGGCTATTGCTCTATTTCTTAACTGCTAGCAAATATAGATTGTAAAAATGGTTACAAAGAAAATAAAGATAGAAAATAGAAATAATGGTACCAAGTGACAGCTTAATCTTTAAAGAGCTCTAAGTCTATGTGTACACTTAAGACAAAGGACACATCCAGGTACAATTTTTACTCCCTTCGGTGCCTCTTGACTCCAGCGTATCAGGCCAGGGCCGGTCCCTCAATTGCTAGGAAAGATGAATACGAGGTGGGCATCTCCATGAAACCTCAGGAGGCCAGTCACTTAACCCGATCAGCAGATAGATGGTAGATTGATGCTCAGAGTAAGTGTGCTGCTGGACCCATCTTTATGCCCATAGGGGCCCATATCCTTTTTCTTATCTAAGATGCCAAATTGTGTTGATCTGCCTTTTGTGACTCTAGTTCTTACAGTCTGTCTTTGTGACGCCAGTTCTTACAAGCAAGTTTCAAGTTAATTTACACTTGCAAGAGAGAGAACTAAATTGTGAGTACTGGACATTTTTTTTTACTGGGCGAGAGATTCCTCCCCCCGTGGACGGCTGTGTGTTTGTATCAATATGGGTTTCAGTCAAGGGCACTTCTTGGCAGCTTCTTGGTCAGCAATTGGCGTATCTCTGTTTATTGCCATTCAGGGTCACTGAGCCTGCATATCCGGGCCTTCTGTTCAAGGCTGTTACTGCTCTGTGTGCCCTGCATGCTCCAGGCAAGCAAAAATGGATGTTACAGGGGGGTTCCTGTCTGGCTACAGACACTAAGCTGGGGGAAAAGTAGGTACGCTGGAGGGCAGGGATAGGATCCAAAGTGATATGAACAGATTAGAGGATTGGGCCAAAAGAAAGCTGATGAGGTTCAACAAGGACAAGTGTAGAGTCCTGCACTTGGGATGGAAGAATCCCAAGCATTGTTACAGACTGGGGACTGAATGGCTTAGTAGCAGTTCTGCAGAAAAGGACCTGGGGATTACAGTAGATGAGAAGCTAGATATGAGTCAACATCATGCCCTTGTAGCCAAGAAGGCTAATGGCATATTAGGGTGCATTAGGAGGAGCATTGCCAGCAGATCCAGAGAAGTGATTATTTCCATTATATGTCGGATGATACAGACTCTACTGCAGAGAGCAACGGAACAGCTGATGCCGCTCCTGCCTGGATGCTTCCACATCTATTGCTCTCTACAATAGAGTCTGTATCATCCGACATATTCGATAATCCAACCATGTGTCGGTCCCGTTTAGGTCGGATGACAGGGACTCTACTGTACTGCTTTAAGTACAAAATGAAACTCAATTTTTTAACTATAGAACTATGGCCATTATCTCTAATTTTTTTTAAACAATTTTAATAATTGTTGACACCTGTATCTGAATTTCCTTCATATCTGCTCATTTCTCTTTAATACAAGATAACTGGAATTGAGCACAATATTCTGAGGACGTCCTCCTGATTTTCATAATGGTATTAAAATATATTCTGTGTTATTTTGTAGTTTTCTAAGTCCTGTTTTTTTCTTTACTTGACTACTGTTGTAACATTGACCTTTTCAGAATGTGTTGTGTGCGCAACCTAGGCCTTTTATCCTGAACAATTAATTAATTTAGAACCCAATAAGATGTGTGAATAGTTCAAAATCTTCTCTCTAATTAAAGTATATGAATACAATATAAAACAGAAACTTATAGCATTTTGTATAGTTTTTATTATACTCTTATGCAAAATCTAGCTTCAGAGCTAACATTTTTATACATGCAATATTGCATTGTTTCCTATTTTAAATATATATCTCCTTTGTATTTCTAGATATGGCATGAATTGCCTTATTCAGTTTGAGGATTTTGCTAATGCCAATGCATTCCGCCTCCTGAATAAGTATCGTAACAAGTACTGCACTTTCAATGATGACATTCAAGGTAACAAAATACTGTCGAATTACTCTATTTGATTGCTTTTGTAAGATAGGAAAAATTAGAGTTTTATTAGTTCATAATTATTGTACCAGAGACAAAAAGACTTTCCTGGATTATTGTATGCTACCTCAGACTATTCATTATCAGCCACACTTTGTCAAGGCATATGAAATACTTAAAGTGAAACAGGCTGTAAACCCAGGAAATTAAATGTCTAAAAAGTTTATTGGGTTGCTGAGGAGTGCACAATTTTACCACTGACAGGGGCAAAATCTCCACCTATTGATTTCTTTCCCCATTAGCCTGCCTCCTGGAGAAGAGCGGCTGACTTTTGTCCACGGCAAATATTTTGAAGTCTGTGATAATTTTTAAAAAAATTGAATGACATCCAAAGATGTAATTAGGAGGCATTCATCATGCTGTGTGCAGTGGGAGAAATTCTTCTTTTTTTCCTCAAAGTACATCTAACGCAGGCTGTAGATTTGAATGATTCTGACTCTGGAAGTACTCTCAACTGGAGGGAATTTCAGGAAGTAGGATATAGCTCTGGTTTTCCCTGTAAGAAATCTTGAAGTACCCATTATAATGCATCTGTAGACCCAATTAATTGAAAGATGAAAATTTTCAGGTAAGCATGGAACATTTTTCCTGTTTATTTTGTTAGAAATATACAGATTGAAATTAATTTGATTCCTGGAAAGGGTAGATTCTTAACTGCCCTGAGAACTTTTGCACAAGATAGGTGTGTTACTGAGAGGGCTTCTTAAAGAGCCAGAGTTGATTTCTTATGTCAGGCTCCCTTCTTAGCTACCGTTAGGCACTGGAATTCCCTCACTTTCCTCCTTCATGCCTTCCATTCAGGAATTGAATTCCCCATCCCCAAGATCATGCTTTTTATTTTTCTTCATTGGGGATTGAGAGAGGAGAGGGGAGCTCTTTTCTCTATCCTATGTCTTCTCCACCCTCTAGTTGGAAAGAATGAAGAGTTTAGATGTGCTTGCTGTAAGTTTGCCTCATACAAAATAACCTAGGTTTGTTAACTTTCAAGACATACTGTAGAGCTCATTTGTTCATCTGGACTTCTAGGAGAAATAGAGAGAAAGAGATACAGGTCAATGTTCAGGGCTGCTAATATTTATTTATGTGTTGTTGCTTAGCAGAAGTGAGAGCTGCTTGTAATGTATATGTTTTTGTAATTATTGAATAGTTGAGATCACTTAAAGCCATGGGCACTTTTTAATTGCTTCTAAGTCGAAATGAAATAAAATAAATAAAAATAAACAATTATTCTCACTTTGTTTCATCCTCCTATTGTATTTTGTTGTAAACTAGATTACAAACTCTTTGGCTCAGGGACAGTCATTTTAGTACATATTTCTACAGTGCCTAAAACCACGTTAGCTAGTTAAGACTCACTAAATTGAACTCAAAGGGTGTCCTCACCATCAGCTAGTACTCCTACCCTTGCAAGGAGTAAGAGAAGCCAACAGAAGCATTTTATCTCATTGGCCTTCTGCTGTGGGGATGGTGCCAAGCTCAGCTTAAGGTAAGCTGACTCTCGCATGCAGTTTAAGGTCAATTGAATACTTTAAGCCAACCTTCTGGGTCTAGTGTAGATCAGGCCTGAAATCAGCTCTTCATGGGAAGACTCCGCTAGGGAATTGTCTAGCACTCAAGTATGCATCCCATCTGTATGCAAACTCAAAATTGAGTTGCTTTGCGCTGCACAGAGAACTGTTCAATGTAAACTCATGAAATTTGCACCATTGCTCAATGTGGAGGAGGATATGCTTAGCTTCCCCCCCTCCAGCTGTGAATTTTACAAATTGATATTAGAGAAAACAAAAATAATGTATTTAAAATTTTATATGATTATAAGGGATAGCAAAAACAGGTCAAAGCAGATTAATGTGCAAATAAAACAAGCTCACAAACTAAGATTACTACACAAAGGAAACTGGTAGAAGTAGTAAATTTTTCACCTTCAATATTGTTTTAGGTATTTCTTTCACAGGCAAAACACCTTTTCCAACCTGAGCTCAGCTCTTCTCCCCCACACTCCTATTTGTCTTGTTTTCTTAGATGTTTCCAGCAGTCATCCTAGTCAGGGATTCAGTGGAAAAAGAATCTAAATTTCCTGCCTTAAGTAGGATTTACATATGGTGGGAATTCTTTATTTCCTACTTTGATCCCCACCTTCCTATTAGTGGGAAAATGCTAGTAATTCAACATGGAGTTCAGTGCCAAGTCACTTGATAACATGACTCTACAATGTCAAAGCAGCTATGAGTCAAGGTTGCTTGCAGCATTTCAAGAGGCTTCTTAGGATGGTGGGAAGATCAACATCTTCAAAGTCCTATTGTTTCCCTTAATGGTCCATCCAGGCTCAATGCATTGTGTCTGGTGGGTGTCCCCCAAGTGTAAACATAGTTGTAATAGGTACATAGGCATATTCCCAACTTCAGATACAAAAGTGATACTTGCATACAAATAGGTTAGTACATCAGAACCATATCTCACATGATCCATCTTGCATAAAACATATCTCAGTTATTCCCTATTCATGGCATAACAATATGTCTATGAAGAATATGGGGTGTAGTGTCACAAAGAGATTTGTCTTTTCTGCTAGAAAACTTGGTTTGAGCATGTTAACTTTTGCAAATGCTTATATACAACTCCCCTGAAAAATGCAATACTCTGTTGTCAAAACTTTCAGAGATTATTTTCCCATGGTCTTTGTGATAGTATAGCTTAGCTGTTGATTCACAAGATCATCTTATGTTTGTTTTTTCCTGGTGCAGATAGTGTTTTGATTGTCTTTCCAGAAAAGTAGCTGATGTGTACAGTGAAATTTAAGGTCATACATCATTACTTATAGCAGTTCCGGTTAAACAAATCTGCTATTCACAGTGACATTTTCCCTCTTTTCATGAAGAACAAATAAGGCAAACTGCTGAAGAGGAGTGATGACAGTTACTGCTAACAACAAAGAATGATAATGAGTTGGCAACTCTAATAGGACTAGATCACTATCGTTTTACAAAAAAAAGACTGAAAAAAAAACCCAAAAGTGAGGTTCTTTTACATTAGCTTGTTTAGACTGTTGTCCTTTTGAAAAAATAAGAAATATAATATCTCAGATCTAAATACATTACTACAGTGACACCTATTTGTTCCACTTTAGAGATCTATAATCATACTGCACAATATGTGCAAAAATGCCCAGAGCAAAGATCTAAAATATTAATATGACTATAGTAATATAATTTTTAAATGCCTAACTTTTTCATTTAAAATAGAAAATTACAGGGAAAACAGATTTCATTAAAGGTTACCAGCTGTAATTGGTATAATCACAATGCGTAATTATAGTTTGTAACACAACAGCCTGTCTAGTAATTTAGCAGCCTATTGTCAAGCATTCTGACAAGTCAGATCTCAGCATTCTGATATGTTCATATCAATCGAGTAGAGAAATTATGGGAAAAGTACCAAATACTATTGTTATGTTGCTAGAAAGATGCAATATAACGCTATTTTATTTCATGGAATACAAAACAACCCCAAACCAGGCTGCTCCCTAAGGAAGCAAAGCACAACTCATTTTGGGGGGTGGTTTTTTTGGTCAATTTCAAAACTTGAATTTTTGCTGATCACATGTAAAAAGTAGCCCAAAAATTACCAAATGACAGTATGCTTCAAAAAGGTTAAGTTTTTCACATTTCTAAAGAAGTCAGTGAGATTGGCAACAGTCCGCAACTGCTGTTCACTCACATGTGGGCCTTTCTCAGTTTATACAGTGCCCCTGCATCCCCATTGGTTGCTTCCCCACCTCATTTGATACATTCTGTGGTCAACAAGAATCTTCACTTTGTCGTGTGGCTTGCCCTGTTCCAGTCAAGCACCCCATGACTAGAGGGGAAGTCAGTGTGTATGGCTGCATGCAGCAGGGAAAGCCTCTGAAAGGAGGCTTTGCCAACTGACGGAGTCTTTCACTGTGGTAGGAAAAAGGTCTGGCAGCAGGGAGGCAGCAAAACATTATAGTGCTAAAATCAACAGTGTAGATGTGGAAGGCACTTCATGGGCATTCAGTGAACTGAGTAGGGTAAATACCCAAAAATATAGTCATGTAGGGCACCCTCTCCAGCACTCAGTCAGTAGAGAGTATAGGGGCAATAGTGTCAGCCAGACCATTCATTTGTCAGAGATTTAGTGTAGTTAATCTTATCAATTTCAAACCTCCATTCCCAGCCAAAAACCACAGTGAGAGTTTGTGTTAGCCTGCTGGGTCACATGATAACTTGTGGTTTACATTTCATCACATGCAAGGCTGCAGCTCCATCCTTTTCTGGGGTGGTTAAGATCAGTTTCTCATTCTACCAGACACAGCATAGGATTACTGGTAGATGTTCCTTCAGTAGCACTGATATCTCTGTGTTGGTAGACAAACACACCCCTTCAGTCTTTTCATGATATTTCATTTCACGCACCATCCCCTTGCAGAGATTCTTGTAACAGATGCATCAACACTGGGTGAGGGTTCTCGTTTAGGCAGTCTCTAATTCAGAGCATAAGGTCTCACTTGCACATGAGTTTACGAAGGCTCAGGTGTTTGTTTAGCCTGCAATGCTTTCCAAGCCATCCTTCAGGATGTAGCTGCCAGGTTCTAATTGATAATATAACAATGATGCAAGATATAAACAAACAACATGGGCACAGGGCCTTCCCCTTTGTCAAGGAGAGATTTTTTTGTTTGTTTGTGAAATTAATCTGGTACCCCTTCATTTATCAGGAACTCTTGACAAATTGGCAGCTCTTATCAGTGAGAAGAGCTTAATCAACCCTGAGAAAGAACTGAAAGATTTGATTCCGGATCAAATATTCATGAACTGGGAGAATCCCTCAGTAGACGTATTTGCTACCAGTGTAAACAAGAAGTGCACTCTCTTTTCTCCCAAAGAGGACTCTGTCCAGGCTCTCTGGCAGATGTTTTTCTGCTCTGGTGGGGAAAGATCCTGTTGTGTCTTCCTCCCCAACCCACCCCTATTAATTCCCAGAAAAATATTTTAAGATAATGCTTTTATAATGATGTTTGGGTAAATCTGTTTTGATTTTCTCACTTGTCAGTAGGTACACCCTTTCCACTTCTAATTCTTCTAGACATTTTTCAGACTCATGGTTGGGTGCCCTATCCAGTGCCGCTGCATCTGATAGCATGAAAAAGCTACCTGGTTGAATTCCATTGACAGAAGTTGTCTCAAGACAGTTCTGAATCAAAACTTCTTGAACAGAAAGGCTAATCTGTAAAAACAAAATGGAATCATTTTAACTTGTGGACTATTGAAAGACATTTGACTTTGGGAGTCTTCTAATTCTTTTGTCTTAGACTACCATGTTGTTGCTAAAGTACTCAGAATCTTTAGTTACATCAGCTACATCAGTATCCACATGTTGGGATTCATTCTGTTTATTCCTGTTTTACTATATCAAGATTTTTTTTGGAAAGAGCTGACTCCTATATGTCCACCAATAAAGGAAACATTTCCTACATGGGACTTGAATGTGGAGTTTCTAGCATTAATGGGCTCCCTTTGAACCTATGTCATTGTGTTTTGTTATTCCACCTTTCCATAAAAAGTGCATTTTAGCTATGACTTCAGCTTTCGGGATGAGTTAGATATAGGCCTTGACAGCAATATTCCATGTGGTATTTCATTAAAACTTCACTCAACATACTTATTGAAAATTCTTTTGAATTTTCATATAAATCAAATTATATAGTTGTCAGCATTTTTCCTCTAGTCTCATGCTCCTCCAGATTTCATACATTTGATGTTCTCTGAGCTTTGTCCTTTTACCTCTTTAAAACAAAGCCGTTTCATGTATAATTTGGACATTTGGTAACAGATCTCAGGGTCAGACTATTTCCTCTCAGGGCTTCTTGAAGTAGGTTTCAGATTGCATTAAGATCTATGCTGGAAATATACTTCCCTTCCCTCTAGATTTGGGATGCACTCTAGTAAGATTAGTGAGACATCTGCAGCTTGTTTTAGGGGAGTCCTTATTTCTGAGATTTGTAGGGCTCCTACTAGAGGTTCTGTTCATAGGTTTACTTATCACTGCTCCATTGTGGCAGCTTCTAGATCAAATGCTGAATTCAGCTGGGCTGTCCTACAAATGTTTAAATAGGAATCCTATCACTCACTCCTCGGATAGATAACTGCTAATTAATGATCTACTATGGGATCCATGTAGACATCTGTTGGAAGAAGAGAGGTTACCTAACTTAAAATAACTGGTGTTTTTTTCCAAGATGCCTTTATCCACAGGAATCCTATCCTTCGCTACTGGGATATTTTTTTTTGCTAAAGGAGCTGAGTGGTTGTTGGAGCTGCTCTGCTCTATGCCCTTGCTAGCCTCTGGGGATACTGCCAAACCAAAGATTCCAGATTCACTTGCATGGGGCGCTTGCATGCCAGTGGAATCCATGTAGATAAAGGCACCTTGAAGAATTCTAGTTACTGTACGAGGTGAATAACCTCTCTTATTTCATCTCATATACTCATTTGAAGCAAAGAACTCTGTGGAGCCCATGCCTCATTCAGTATGCATTCTACCAATGGGAATTAGCATTTCCCATTACTGATCAAGTCTCAGCTTGCATAGCTTCTAAGATCTGATGAGATGATTCTCAGCACAACATGGTATGGTTGGCAAGATAGAATACATGCTATCATGGCTGAGGTTAGAATCAAAACAATAATCTTTTCTATTTTACTTATTCTGAAGTTACTCTTGGTCTAATTTATCTCTTTGATTTAATAACAACAAAATAAAGCAAAACAAACAAAAGATTCATATTATAATTGCTAACTCTCTTAAGTGTTTGCTTCTTTTAGCTATATGAGTGTTTTGAAATCATTGATAATATTTACTTAAGACTTTGAATTACTGTTTCAAAGTAGCCTAAATAATTCATTTTGTATTTTAGGAACAGCATCTGTGGCTGTTGCAGGTCTTCTAGCAGCTCTGCGCATCACTGAGAACAAGCTGTCAGATCACACTATACTGTTCCAGGGAGCTGGAGAGGTATCTTTATTACACAGCACAAAAGCATTTTTATGTGAAAACTTTGCTTTTACTTTAGAACAAGTTACATGTATCTGATCCATAATAGGATATTTATTAGGAAAAATAATAATAGCCTGTAAAAATGGTTTTCTTACTTCAAATGAACACTTTGTTAAAATTCAGTTAGTTCATCTGATCAAGACAGGTATTTTCATAGGATACTTTGGGCAAATCATAGCCCACTATTAATACTTCAAGTTCTTCTTCAAATGATGGCCATTTGTGTATTGTGTGTGGGTATCCATGAGACAGTCAGTCTCGATTGGTTGCTGTAGGGAATTGTTTCTTCAGTTCATTCTTAACACTGCATGGTTGTGATTAGAATCATTGGTGTCCTGAGATGCTTTTCTACTGCGCTGTTGCTGTAAATACACAGCACAGTAGACTTCCAATAATCTGGCATTTTTGGTGGTGCCAGATTATTGGATATGCTGGAATACCAGGAGGGCATACTCCCAACCCAATAACTCCCCCTCCCCCGCCCTTATGCTCGGGTCCCAGAGCCGCTGGTACAGTCGCACGACTCCCTCCAGGTGCTGGGGCACGTGCGCTGAGTGGCCGGCTCTTCCATGAGCTGGCTGGGATGCTGTGCACAATCCAATCTCCCTCTCCTTCTCCAGAGCCAAGCTTCCCTCTCTGCTGTTGCCCAATCCCCCTTCTCCCCCAACCTTATGTCCAGGTCCCAAAGCAGCTGCCTGTGCTCAGTGGCCAGCTGCTAGCACGTGCAGGCTGGATGCTGTGTGAGCTGGGGACTGTGAGCAGAATGGCATGGGCCATGAGCATGCATGTGGCTCACAGCGGCCCGGCCGTGAGAGCAGCTGACCTGAGCGGCTTTGGGTTCCAGTTGATGCTGGACTATCAGGAGTGCCGGCAACTGGATGCCTGACTATTGGAGTTTTACTGTAGTTTCTCACTTAACATTGTAGTTATGAAATGCTGCTTGAAAAATGTGACTTTAAGCAAAATTATGTTTAGTAAATCCAGTTTCCTCATAAGAATTAATGTTTTTGGGAGTGGGTTTATGTTCTATGGATTTTTTTCCACCAGACAAAAGACAGTATATATATTTATACAGTATAAGTTTTGAACAATTTTTAAGAAACAATACTGTAGACAGCAATGATGTTACGAAGACTGATTGAGGTGGTAGAATCAGAGGGTGAGCTGTTTCTCAGGGAATGCCTTGTTGCTGAATGATGAACTAGCACTTGGCTGAGCCTTCACGAGTTAACACATCTTTGTTAATGTAGCCTCACACTACAAGGCACAACAGACTGGAGCAGGAAGGAGGAGACAATAGATGCAGGGCAGTGGCTGCAAACGCTTGCTTCTGGAATGTGAAGATGAACCCACGCTATTTGGAGCACACCATTCCCTTCTCTGGATAGTACATACATGACTGCACAGGCATTGACATTCCCAAAGTGCTGGAGGGTGGGATGTATGTGAGAGACACGCTCATTGCTCATTTAAATTTTCTGACCCCACTTTAAGTACACTGCCCTTTTAAGTAGATCAGCAAGCTCCCTCCAACCTGAGCCCTGTCGTGTCCTCCCCCAGCTCAGTGGAAATGGGGTACAGGAGCAGAGGGATACCCTGGTATCAGTATCTCCTCTGCCCATACCCACCACACAGCAAGCAGAAGGTTCCTAGGAGCAGCTCCAAGGCAGAGGGTAGGAGTGTAGCACAGAGCAGTGAGCAGAGCAGCACCTAAACTGCCCAACAATGGATAGCCTGCTGGGTGGCGACTCAGCTATGCACCTTATGGGAGCTGATAGTGAAGCTGCTGGCCCACCCTGGTTCCAAATCCCCCACCACTAGCTCCAACAAGCTACTCTTCCTACAAGCAGTGGACAAAGCATGCAGCAGCTAAACAATGTCATAGTGGAACATTGTGCAACTTTCAGTGAGCATGTTCTCAATAGATCAGTGATGTAACAACAACGTTAAGTGAGGAGTTACTGCATTGTAGTTTTGTATTTAATAGTTGTAGTTGTTTACTAGTAGTAGTTTCCCCAAAAGTTGTAAGGGTCAGAACATGAGGCTTAGGAAACATCTCATGAAAAAGCATGTGAGACCCCAATCAGGTCCAGGCTGTGGACTGCCCCCTGTCCATCAGTCTAAGCAAGGAGACAGTGCCTCTGCAAGCACAAGCTCAGGAACAGAAGCTATGAGTTCTAAGAAAAGCTTCCCATGAAAGTAAGGGGCACGATGATAGGGTGTCCACCTCACACAAGGCCTGATGGGGCATATTAGGCCAATTAACCTGTACATTGTACTTGGAGGGAAGCCAAGGAATGCTAAAGCCTAATTCCTGATGAAATCCAGCTGGGGAAGGAACTTGGCAGGGTTTATAAAGAGATGAATTTCACAGTAGATGGGGCTGCAATAAGCTGAGCCTGCTGCCATGCTTCCTCCTACAATGGGGAGAATAGAAGACTGAGAGAGAACAGGGTAGGAAGCAGTCCAGGCAAGGAACATTAAGGCCCGAGAGGGATAGACCTGACCTGTTGGCTCTAGGGCCTCTGGCTTGTAATGCCAGATAGAGGGAAAGCTCATCTTCCCTTTTTCAGCCACTTCGGGAGTGGTGCAAATGGCTCAATAGATATGGGTAGGGCCCAGAGCCTTTGAGGAAGGAGATTTTGATAATACCCAGGAAGGGTAGGTTGATAGTGACTTGACCAGAGGCTAAGCCACAAAAAAGAGGCTCCTGACCAGAGCAATGGGTTGAGTGACCATCTGGTCAGCTGCAGGCAGTGATGGGCTGATTTCCTGGACAAGCCATGAAGAGGTGCCCCTGAACAGCGAGTAGCTGAGCATGACTCCATTACAGCCACTCTCCTAGACAAAAGGACAGACCATCTTGTTCTAAGACTGGCCTGAAGAGAGAGAATGCTGCCTTGATCCCAATCAAAGTTTGGAGAATCTACATTCATAGGTGCTAAGGCAGTGGTACTTTTGTACTTGTGATCCCTTTTCACATAGCAAGCCTCTAAGGGTGTGTTTAGACTACAGGGTTTTGTCGACAAAAGTGGACTTTTGTCGACAAAACTATACCTGCATCTACACTACCACTGAGTTCTGTCGACAGTAAGTCGACAGAACGCGGCAGTTTTGTCGACAGAGGTAAACCTCATTCTATGAGGAATAATGCCTTTTGTCGACAGAGTTCTGTCGACAAAAGGCACTATTACATCCACATTGTATTTTTTCAAAAGAGAGCGTCTAGACTCTGTCGAAAAAGCGGCTTGCTTTATCGACAGTATTGGCTGGAGTCTAGACGCTCTTTGTCGACAGTATCTGTCAACAAAAGCCTGTAGTCTAGACGTACCCTAAGTGACACACCCCTTTACAAATTAAAGACACTTTGTTATATATTTAACACCATTATAAATGATGGAGGCAAAGCAGAGTTTGTAGTGGAGGTTGACAGTTTGCATCCCTGTTTGAGAACTCCTTCACTAAGGGTTTAAGCTGAGTAAATCATCTTGGCAGGAGAAAGTGGCATGCCAAGGATATGGATCTGCCAATTCTGGTATCTATTTTGATGGTTTTTAATTGTTAAGAATTAAGTTGCTCCCATAAACATCCAGAGCTGCTGATGTACCTATAGCAACAAAATCTTCAGATGGATCCAATTTCCCCTGTGACCAGGGAAACTCTGGTTCTGACTGCTCAACTATTAGTATTTATTTCCAATACTGCCCATAATATGCAAAAACCTGTAGAAGCTTTTTTTAAACATTTTTATGTGTGTTGTGAAAACCAGATGATAATGTAAGGTTAGTGAATTTTCTTTCAATAATTAATATATTTGTGGCTAAGTGCTATTTAAGCAGAACTGAAACATTTAGTCTGAGCTGAAAACCTAATGAAGTCTGGATATCTCAAGCTGTATTTGATTTACTGTTTGTGGCCTGAATTATTCAGACTGTAAGAGGCTAAAAAAAAGTCCTTACTTATTCCTAAAATTGTCTAAACACATTCTTTATAGAAAAACATTGCAAACTTGACAGTTTTTGTTTTGACTCAGAAAAAAATCTATATTTTGCAAAATTTGCAGATTTTTGTGGAAAAAGAAAAAACCACCAAAATCTGTTCTGTTTATTTTGTTCCTTACAATAGGGCAAGTGAATGTAAGAAAATAAACATTTAGAGTACAATTTCTACCCCATAAGTAGTCATCTGCTTCTCCCTGGCTTTCTCTTGTGTGGATAATACCTATGTGGGGTGATAGTGCTCAGAGACCATATTCACTTTAGTACCTCCCCTGCACTCCATTCTGTACAAATATATTGGGCTGTTTTTTTTTTTTAAATTCAATGAATTTTTTTTTCCAGACCAAACTTTGGTGGGAATGGTGGTAATAATAGAATATTCACATGCGATTCTGATTCTCTATCATGTTGTTTAATGTAAAATAGCAGACTCCATAATTATGGGAGGATAGGAAGCATTAAACACTGAAAACTGAGTCATAAATCTGATTATCTTTATTTGTGTATGAGTTCTATCACCACCATATATCTATCATGGTGAAAAATACATTTTCTGGTACTTTCAATTTGTGAAAATATCATTGTATAGCATTAATTGTTAGTGAAATTAACAGTTTTAAGGTAATAGGAAAATAGTACTGTATGTTATCACATTCTTTCTTTTCCAGGTTTCATATATTAATTTTCTTTTCCTCTCTCTCCTATTTAGGCTGCACTTGGGATAGCAAATCTGATTATTATGGCTATGCAAAAAGAAGGAACGCCTGAGCATGAGGCCATCAAAAAGATATGGATGGTTGACTCAAAAGGATTAATAGTTAAGGTAATACAATGTTTTTCATTGGTATAAGTGCAGTATTAAAATTATTCTCATCATTCTGCATCAGCCAGATGTAGAAACAGCTTTATGGATATGATGAAGCAATTAACTCTCTTTTCTAATACCTACATCAGGGATGGTGAACCTAAGGCCTGTGAAATGAATCCAGCCTGTGGTTTGCCTTGATCCAGCCCATAAGTTTCAGCTCTCCCCTTCTATCTCCCACCACAGTGGGGAGCCAGCACTGGTGCTCCAGCCACAGAGTGAGTCTCTGAGCCATAGCTCCCCTTGTACATCTGGAGCACACTAGTTCGGTAGCTCTGACACCAGCAGCCTTTCTATAGGCTTCCAACAGCCTTGGGTACTACTAGTAGAGTGATCCATCACCAACACATTTCCAGTCCTGATTTTCACAAAAGTGTGTGTTCTGCAATGCCTGCTCCAGGACAGTTCAGAGAACTAATATAGTTAATTTGTTCCTCTAAAGGCACTAAGATCACAATTTATTAACTTAACTGGGAGTTAAGTTCCCTTTAAATATCACACTTAACTGGTTATTAGTAAAATAAAACAAACATGTTACAATAGGACATAGGTTAAATGATGCTAAGTAAAAGAAATAAAGTTAGAAAGGGTTACAAGGAAAAAAAAGTGCAAACATGCATCTAAGAATCTAAAACTTAATTTAGCTAGTTACTGGACTTGTTCTATACGTCTTCTCTTACCAGTCATTCTCCTTCCCAGCTACTGCTAACTTTCAGGACGTTCCACAACAGTAGAATGTGCTAGCTTCCCCTTGTCATCTTAGATGAAAGACCTTTGCCTAAACAGGTTGCTCACCTATATTTGGTTCCACAAGACTTCAATACAAACCCCCACATCTCTCTTGCTTGAAGAGAGATCTTTCTCAGCTTGTTTGTGTCTAGTGATGGATACCAACAATGGCTTCTTTCTTTCTTACATCTTTCAATGTTCATTGAATTTATTTTGAGATGAGAGATGACCTATTTTCCGATTCTTGTGAGCATCCCTTCCCACTGTATGATTTTTATGTCAGTGGGGCTTCCATTGTTTCTGATTCCACTATGCTTAATTTATATTGTCAACAGATAGTCCAGACAGTCCCTCTTGCCTGCGGACACTGTACAGCCTAATATCCAGGAATATCTACTATTCCTGGTGTAGTGTTAATTAGTAGTGTGTTGTTAGATCTCAGAAAAGACCTCACTCTACACATTTATAAGATGGTAATATTGTGTACAATGAGTAGATTCAGTTGATTAACACGTGGGGTTCAGCTCCTTGTCTTTATAAACCAGTAAATGTTTGAAGAGGATTCTTGTGAGGGTTATCCATCAAAGTAAAGTATTTTCCAGTTGGGAGGAAGGTGATACAGTATCTGGTGTTAAAGGAAGCTTTATGTTCTTTCTTCTCCCACTTACTGTACAAATAGATCTTTGTTGTCTTTGCCTGAAGATTGGGCTGGTTAGAGAATCTAATGTACATTCCTTTGATAAGTGGGCCAGTTTACCTGGCTTGAAGATATTTTAGTTATCATTCCAGCATATGTCCATTATTCATAATAGCCATCACTTATTTGCATCACTGAGGGTTATTAATGATTTTCAAATTACAGGCAGTCCCTGGGTTACGTACAAGATAGGGACTGTAGGTTTGTTCTTAAGTTGAATTTGTATGTAAGTCGGAACTGGTACATATTGTAGGGGAAACTCTAGCCAAACATTTCTCCAGAGCTCAGTTTTATTCTCCCACACCTCACTTCCCTCAGTCCTTTATTCTCAAGCAGAGGTGTCTGTTGAGAAAAGCCGCTCCGTGTCTCCCTGGTCTGGTGGGGGGGGGGGGGGGGGCGCTAGCTTCGTGTCTCTCTGGTCTGCTGGGGGGAAGCAGCTAGTGCGGGGTTGCCTCACCCCGTTTGTAAGTAGGGATCCGATGTAAGTCGGATCCATGTAACCCTGGGACTGCCTGTATACCTCCTAAGGCATGTTTTGTACAGAGATTAATACAAGAGTGGCAAGGTTATGAATACAGGAATGCTTAATATCACAAATCCCATCTTCCTCACATCGAGTCAATGGCAAAATTCCCATGCCACTTCAGCTGGAACAAGATTAGGTGCATAGTCACTATGTTGTTCCAACTGGAAACAATCATTCCTAGTGCTTTTTGTATTAAGTAGACTTTTTAAAAAAGGGTTATAGAAATGTAGCCGTGTTAGTCTGGTGTAGCTGAAACAAAAAACAGAACTGTGTAGCACTTTAAAGACTAACAAGATGGTTTATTAGGCGATGGGCTTTCGTGGGCCAGACCTACTTCCTCAGATCGAATAGTGGAAGAAAATTGTCACAACCATATATACCAAAGGATACAATAAAAAAAAGAACACATATGAAAAGGACAAATCAAATTGCAGAACAGAAGAGGGGTGGGGGAAAAGGTAAATGTCTGTGAGCTAATGATATTAGAGGTGATGATTGGGGAAGCTATCTTTGTAATGGGTAAGGTAATTAGAGTCTTTGTTCAAACCTAAGTGTAAAGTGTCGAATTTGAGCATGAATGACAGTTCAGAGGATTCTCTTTCAAGAGTATTCTTGAAAGGCTTTTGAAGCAGGATGCAAGTAATTAAGTCGTTGAGACAATGTCCTTTCTGGTTGAAATGGCAAGAAACTTGTTTTTCTTTGTGATCCTGTCTAATATCTGTTTTATGGGCATTGATCCTTTGGCGAAGTATTCAGCTTGTTACTTTTTTGTATTTCCCAAGTAAGTATGATTGTGTGTTTTAAAATAGCTGTAATTAATATATGTATGTATGTATTTGTTTATATAATTGATGTTAGTATAATATTCAGGGAGAAATTTTTTTAAAAGGAACAAAAAAGCAGATGTTATGAAGAATAATATATTCCTGATGTTGCAACTCTACAGGACGACTTCATGAACTTAGCTATGTTGCCTCAAATAGCTTTCATGCACAGTGATAAAGCTCATGTCACAGATGCTGTGGTTTGTAATACTATCAGCAGTGGTCAGAAATTTGAAGTTTCTGAGAGACTTTGAGTCACTCTTACCTCATTTCTTTCACATGCCAAACTGAAGAAACTTAAACATCTCACATGCCAAAATAAATAAATCTATGTGTTTTAAAAGGTGGTTATGTATTTAATAGCTTGTGAGCTACTTAAAATAAAGAAAATATGTGAGAGCTCAATTAACCTCACTTTTTCACCTTTCCTTTTATTGGCATTCCCAACTGTCCTGTTGATTTTCCTCTCAGAAAAACAAAGTTCAGTTAAATAATATAACAGCTTTTCCCCTGCTGAATTCTTAACCAATTATAAAAAGTATATCTCCTCCCACATCAACTGCATCTGTTTTGTCATTAGCTTATAAAATCTTCAGAGAGCCAATGGGGCTGAGTTTTATTAAACTGCATTATAGCAGCACTGTTTCACTGCAGTCTAATAAAGGTAGTAGAATCATATATATTAGAGATGGAAAAGATGTCATGTAGGCTAACACCATGCCAATAAGTGGAGTACAGGAAAATTCTGATACCTACCTCTTAGGCAGATTTTTGTCACATTCCTAGAAATAGTGTCATGAAGCAATAGGGTAATACTTCCTACTTTCCTCTGCATTTTATCCAAGAATTTCAAAATGTACAAATATTAATAGATGAAACCTTATCTGTTTTAAGTGGATTACAAAAAATAGAGATTGCTGTTCGCATGTTGTACAGTTTTGCTTTATTATCTCCTTTTTAGACATTGGGATATCGATACATAAAAAGGTTATGTTCTTTTAGTGGTGATTCAATTCCTATATCAGTTCCACACATGGATATGCATATGCCATGCACCTGAGGCATATGTGGGAGTGATGACTGCTGTGCTGCTTTGACATTTCTCAGCATGGAGAGCTCACAGAGCTGCTTGGGATTCAGCTCCTGTCAGCTAAGGATGCTGTGGGAGAACTTGGAGAGAATCGCAGAACCATAGGCAGGCAGGCAAAGCAGCCTGCTTCTGGAGAGATTGCTGTGCTGAGCAGACATGTAGGGAATCCCCAAATTTTAACATTTCCCATGAAACAGCAAAGAACCTTGCGTGGTTGCAACTAGCCATTAACTTTGGGAGCTCTGGGGTCCCTCACTCCAAAGCTGTCTTCATGGTAGGTATCCAGAGACATATCAATTCTGGGAGCCCTAATGTTCTTGGCCCAATCAATCTACTTGGCATGTCTGGAAGGCCAGCCTACCCAGCAGCTCACCACGCAGGCAGTCAAAGAGCCTGGCAGGTTTTCAATAGAAAGCAAATACATTTGTAAGTTTGTTTTTCATTAATTAAGATGATATAGGGAAGTCCTCAAATTTTCAGGCTGATAGTCCTCAAACTTCAGAGGGGCAGCCAAGTTAGTCTGTAATAGGAAAAACTTTAAAAACAGCAAATAGTCTAGTAGCACTTTAAAGACTAACAAAAGATGTAGATGGTATTGTGAGCTTTCGTGGGCAAAACCCACTTCTTCAGAGTGGGTTTTGCCCATGAAAGCTCGTGATACCATCTATATCTTTTGTTAGTCTTTAAAGTACTACTAGTCCTCAAAAACACATTTGTAGACTACAGTGACATCTACTGGAGAATTTAAAAACAGTAATCTTCAAAACATTGTGCACTGGTTTCATCAAGGATATGACCAAAGTGCTAATTTTACTGCACCTATGAGAGTTTGTGGATTTTATATTTAACCCACAAAGGAAAGGAGGTGCATATATCTTAATATTTCTGTGGTGGTAGTTCTAAGAACGTACTTAAAACCCATATAAGCACATGAGGACATAACCCACTCACTAAAACACTGTATTTCAGTCACTTAGGAAATCTGTAGAAGTGGATAAATCTTTGGAAGTCCCCCATAATCAAGGGGAGTCAAGAAAAATGGCTATCCTGTAAACCAAAGCAGCTCTGTTAACATTAGGCCAGGTATTTTAGTATTATTAATTTTTTTTCAAAGTGTCAAAATGCAGTAGCTTTAAATTGTACATGGCTGCAATATTACATGAATTATTTGGGTTTTTTAAAAGTATGTACAATAATTCATCTTTTTCTAAAATTATTTAAAAATATAGTGCATAATTTTTGACAATTTGAGTTGTTAATGCTACTATGAACTACAATTGTCAGTCTTTAAAATGTTCACATTCCAGGCATTTACATTTGGACAAATGGATTTCTTGCCCCTGTAAGAGCATGATGCAATGTATAATTTAAGAAACTTTTCTAACATTTTGTTGCTAATATAAATGTCATACACTAAATATAACAGCGATAATAAATTATCAGAATATCTCTCTTAAAGGTCTGTATCAGTTTACCTAGGGAATATCGTCGTCCCAGCACATATTTTAAAAATGCTTTTTTTTTTTCTTTTTGGCTTTTTTTTTTCTTAGGAACGTTCCTCATTAACAACTGAAAAAATAAGATTTGCTCATGAGCATGCTGAAATGAAGAATCTAGAAGATATTGTTAGAGCTATAAAACCAACTGTACTTATAGGTAATTATTTAATCAAATGATATATTTTAAGAAGTGAGACTTTGTTTTATTGTTTGCATACATATGACTATCCTATATAGGGAAAATTATGAGCTCCTGTGAACATCTATCAGCATTCTATAGTATTTGGAAAATATCTTGCACATAAGTGGATGCTACTGTAAATAAACAAATTATAATAATAAGAATAAGAATAAAACAAACATATAATAATACTTTCATTCTAAAGCCTACATATTAGTCTGTTTTCTTGAACTTCTGTTGAGGAGAGAGATCTTCTTCCTAATATTTCTGTAGTTAAAGGTACAGGTACTTAGTATAAATAACCTCAGAAGTCATAATGATAAAAGTGAAGCATACATACCTATAAGACTGTACAGTCACTTGCATTTTTAATCTGATTAAACAGATTTCTGGTTTCAGTTATGTAGTATAATCCTGTAGTGTTCAGGCAAAACTGTCATTGACTTTAAAAGAACTGCAGGATCTTAATCAGGTTGAAACAACCAGCTGAAAGGATGCTTCAATTATCTGTACTGCAGAGTGAAACCAGTTTTCTACCACTTCTTTCAGAAATGAAAAGGCAATGCTGAATTTTTGCAGTATAAGTAATCTTTTAAAATCTGTTTATTCACTAAAACTGTTCATTGTTAGAAAGTGTGAATATATCTTACTCTGTGCCCCCTGTCATGAAATTTTAAAAAGATGTAATTTAGTATTGAATTGCTAATTCCACCCTGTACCACTACTCACTATGATATGTTACCTATTGCTTAAGTCAGCCTCTGTACTACATGACTAGATGATAGCTAATGTAATGCCGATTTTAAAAAAAAACTCCAGAGGGGATTGTGGCTATTACAATCTGACATGCCTACCTTCAGTACCAGGTACATTGGTTGAAACTATTGAGAATAACAGAAGTCAGATACAAAGGTGAACAGACTATGTTGGGAAGAGTCACCCTGACTTTTGTAAAGAAAAATCAGACCTCACTAGCATTAGAATTCTTTGAGTGGCAACAAACATGGGCAAGGGGGATCAAGTAGATATAGTGTACTCAGACTTTCAGGAAGCCTTTGACAAAGTAAATCCCTCATCAAAAGCTGTCAAGCAAAAGAAACAGTCATATTAAGAGGGAAGGTTCTGTCATGGGTCAGTAATTGGTTAAATGACAGGAAACAAAGGGTAGGAATAAAATAATCACTTTTTACAGTAGAGAGATGTAAGTAGTGGGGTTCCTCCAAGAATCTGTATTCTGACCTGTGCTGTTCAGCATAAATGATACTCATAAATTATGTGGAAAAAGAGTAAAACAAATTTGTAAAGTTATTCAAGATAGTAAAGTCCAAAGGAGATTATAAACAGTTACAAAATTGGGTGAGTAGGGAACAGATGAATGGAAGATAAAATTCTTGTCACCCTATCTCAAAATTAGAATATTATATATAGAAATATATACTAGATATATTAGAATTGGAAAAAAGTTCAGAAGAGGACAAAGATTATTATGGATATGGAATAATTTCCATATGAGAAGAGATGAAAAAGATGGGGACTTTTCATCTTAAACAGGTGACTGAGAAGGGATATATAGGTCTATAAAATGCTGTAGATAGAGACAGTGGGGGAGTGTTGTTTACCCATTCAGATAACAAAAGAACCAGAGGTCACCCAACAGAATTGATAGGTAGCATGTTTTAAATAAATGTAAGAAAGTACTTCTTTATACAACACACAGTGTACTTTTGGAACTTATTACCAAGAGAATGTTGTGAAAGCCAAAAGTATAACTGGGTTCAAAAAAGAATTGAGTAAGTTCATGGAGGCCATCAATGGCTATTAGCCAAGATGATCAGGGATGCAATCCTATGCTGTGCGTGTCCCTAAACCTCTGATTGTCAGACTTGGGACTGGACAACAGGGGATGATGGATCGTTTGATAAGTGCACCGTTATGTTCATTCCCCCTATAGTGTCTGGCACAGGCCACTATCAGAAGACCTGATACTAGGATAGATGGACCATTAGTCTGACCCTGTATGGCCAGTTCCTGTGTTACTGTGCTCCCGCAGCTCCATAGCATACAAAGGAAATTTAGGCCTTGCATTCTTTTCAAATGTTGCAGTATTCACTATTATCTGAAGTAATCTTACTATCATGGGGTATGTCTACACTACAGCACTATTTCAAATTAACTTAATTCGAAATAATTAATTCAAATTAAGCTAATTCAAATTAATGCATCTACACACAAACTATTTCAGAATAGCGTTTTGCGATTTCGAAATAGCGCGTCCACACTGAGGGGACCCTGAACCGAAGTTAAGGCTGGCTGAAACCAGTGCCAGCAGGGCATCAAGTTAGGACTTAGTGTGTGGGGCTGCTGCCCGAGGCTAACTGAGCTCTGTGCTTAAAGGGACCCTACCCCCACCCCGGACAGACAGTTGTCAGGGTTCCCCGCTTGCTTGTCTACCTCAACAAGGGACAGCAAAGCAGTCCTGTCTTGGAGTTCTCTGAGTGCCCACACTTGGGACACCACTGCACTTCGCCATATGGAGCCAGAGCTGCCCCTGGGCACGCCATTGCATCTTGTGGGGTCGTTGCCATCAGCCCGGCTGCACTTTCTGGGGGGCCCATAGGGTGACACTCTGGTGCTTCTCCTGAACATGTTGCTGCGAGTCTGGCAGCACGGTCTGCAAGCAGTAACAGTCTCCCTGGTGTGCCCCACTGGGGGCTTGTGCCTCATACCTCCCTCATGTACTTCCACTTACCCCTCCCTAAGCCCCCTTCCTGCTGTACAATAAAAGACACGTGTTCATTACAACAAAGCCACTTTATTGAACAAAACTGGGAGGGGAGGGGAATGAAACTCTGGTGAGACTTGGGAAAGGAGGCAGGAGAGGGGAGAAGAGAGGGTGGGAGGAGGGAGGGGAAGCCTGGGAGGAGGGAGCTGGAAGGGGGAAGCAAGGGGAAGAAGGAGGAGGGGAAGCTCAGGGCCCAGGGTTGGGGGGTCTCGACGGACCAACTTGATTTTCATGCAAACCTGCTCCTGGATTCGCATGTGGCCTTTGGTGGCCAGGCTAACAGCTATCCTGCATTCCTCCGTCTAGTGCGGCGATCATGGACGATGGGGGCATGGGAACCCCAAACCTGAATAAGGTCCATGATCTCCACCCTGGACCAGGAAGGCTCCTGCCTTCTTCAGCCCCTGTCAGGCTCCTGGGAGCTGGCAGATTGCTTCTGGGGAGCGGTGGAGAACTGGCTGCCAGTGTCTTGCTGGCTTATGTTTTGGGGCCACTGGGTCAGGAGCCCCGGGTGCCACTGCTGGCTCTGGTCTGGCAGGCTTGGAGCTGGCACAGGCACTGTGGCCAGAATCTACCCCTTTAATGGGGCTGGGGCTGGGGGAGAGGAGAGTACGTTTTCCTGGTTGTGCCCAGAGTGACCACCAGGGCTCCTTGGGAAGGGCTGGAGGCCTCCTATTTCGAATTAAGTGTGTACACAGTACTTAATTCGAAATAGCTATTTTGAATTTAGCGTTACTCCTCATAGAATGACATTTTCCAAATTCGAATTAAGCGCACCGATATTTCGAATTAAATTCAAAATAGCGGTTTGCATGTATAGATGCTATTAAAGTTAATTCGAAATAATGGCTGTTATTGCGAATTAACTTTGCAGTATAGACATACCCATGGAGGGCTAGGGCATGGCCTTTACCAAAACTCCAGCTGTCCAACCAGGCCGGTTAGTACCATTAGTTTCAAACAGTCTTTCCACTAAATTGTGGAGAAAGAGGTTGTTTATGCTTCATTTTTTATTGTGGTTGCAGGAGGGGGTGGAAGGAAAGCATTGTATCAGAAACATATATGGCAATTCATTGCTTTATCTTGTCAACACATTATACAAATATTAACTAACTAGTATTCTTTGCGTGCTTCTCTGCATGCATTCTGCTTCTGGTGTGCCAGGCCCCCCATGACCTGGAAATTGGAAAATGTTAGCCAGCAGCATCTGCTGGTCCTACTTGCTCCATTGGTGCTCTTGAGTCTCCCCATCCTTGAACATATAAAGAAGGAAGAGTACCAACATAACCTCAGTTCCTCTGATTCCTGTCTGTGAGACAAACTCAGCTGGCAACATCCACCTTTTTTCTAGTTGCATATTTGATTAGATTTTTAAAAATACTTTGGTATTTAGATTTAAATTTAATAACTAGATTTTAGCTTTATTTAGTTTATTTTCTGCCCATTGTTTTGTAACTCCAGCTACTGAACAGGTAAGTAACTTTCCTATTGTTATCACTACAGACACAGTCCTGATGTTATGCACCTGAAAAAGTTCTGCCTTTGTTTTTGTTACTGAAGTGGAAAAAACCAGCTAAATTGTATTAGAGAAGCTATAGTAAAAGAAAATGCTATTGTACCGTTACTTTCAAAATGACATTCAAGAATATCTGGAACAAATTGCATTCCCTACATTTTCTGTCACGTGCTTCTCTTCTCTTATTTAGGAGTTGCGGCAATTGGTGGTGCTTTTACAAATCAGATTCTCAAGGATATGGCATTCTTTAACAAGCGGCCAATCATTTTTGCCCTAAGTAACCCAACCAGCAAAGCAGAGTGCTCTGCAGAACAGTGCTATCAGATGACTGAGGTAATGGAAGGTCAATGTGCACAGTCACTAAACGTAGTGTTTAGATAAAGAAAAATAATCCGTAATTGCTTTGTTACTTATGTTTTAAAAATTGATTTGTGTTAGGTGAATTTAGAAGCTGAAGTTTATAAATGCCAAGTAGTTAATTTTATGTATGGAGATCAGTTAATTCTATGTATGAAGATCAGTAAATCTAACAGTTTCATTGAAGCAAAATAAAGCACCAAACAAACAAAATGATCTTTGAATAGTTTGATTTTAATTTGCAATTCAGAAATGATAGGCAGAAAATATTTCACCATTTTTTATTTTTAAATAATTTACTGGATTATGAAGCAGCCATATTTTTATTATATCTTAAATGGCATAGAAATGAAAGCGTGATGTGTGTTCAGCTAACTGTTCCTTTGTGCTGCAGCTAGCCCTAGAGAACTTCCACGCTATACTCCATCTGCAAAAATCTCTCCACTAAATTAGGATGGAGGAGCATTTGATAAGTTGGCAGTGCATGATAGCAAGCCTGTAGATGCTTGTTTAATACTCTGTCCTTCATTTCTGTACTTTATCAGTACTTTTCAATTATGAGTGTCAATAATATGATAGGTTTGATTTAGTTCCACCTTCTAACTCATTTAAATGCACAGTGACCCTTAAAGATATATTTTGTATTTATAAATGGTCAGTAAGATAGACAAGCTTCTTGCAGGAAGCAAAATATTAGAAATCATTCAGGATTGTGAATTGAGGCCTCTGTGTTCAGATTTCTGATAGCTGTACTTTTTCACCTGTATCTTTAACTAACTGTAATGTGTGACTAAAATTAAAAACAAAGAACTATAATTTGTAATTCATTTTAAAAGTCCTATGGTTCTAGAGTGAATGTCAATAATCACAGCAGTTTTATATAACAGCAATGTTTAAAATTGCCAGTGTAAGTAACTGATCCATCTGCCTTCTGTATTGGATTATGGGTTCTGCACTGGATTTTCCCCTTATCATATGGAAGTAATATTGTGTAACTGTCATACAAACAAAAATATAGCATGTCTACTGAAAAGTACATATGACAGTGCAATGCAAGAGTAAAAAAGGAATTCATGCCCAAAGAAGGATTGGTTATAATGGACAGCTACATCCAGTAACCAGAGCTAAAAATACAATAAACAGTTCTTGCATGACACCAAGTTAAACACAATATTCTTTTGAAAATCTAAATGAGACCATTGGTGTGCTTTAAAATACACATTTCAGTTTCCTAAAATAAATTTACATATTTCTTGGTACAAGGAGCTTCTTAAAACTATTGATCAGTGAAAATTAATCAGTTTAGCAATTTTTAAGGGGGCTAGACAAAGGACCCTTCTAGGACTGAGCGAGCATCTATTCAACTAGTAACACTTTTTAAATATTTTGTTTTAGGGGTGTGGCATTTTTGCAAGTGGAAGCCCTTTTGACCCTGTGACTCTTCCAAGTGGGCGCACCTTCTATCCTGGGCAGGGTAACAATGCATATGTGTTTCCTGGAGTTGCCCTTGGTGTTGTTTCATGTGGATTGAGGTATATAAGTGAAGACATTTTTCTCACAACTGCGGAGGTGGGTACACTATTCGTAATAATTTAAAAAATCCTTTAAAAAATCATTGATTATATAATAAACACTCAAATATCCAATTGCCATTCTTGACATTTGTAAGGTAATACACGTTTTCTCCTCTTAGAAGTACATTTCTCTATATTAAGCAGTTATTTTGATTTTTAAAAATAGTGTAAATTGGTTCAGATATCCAGTTTGAAATTCACTCAATCATTTAATATTTCCCACTGTGAAATCTGACACAAGATGATTCTATCTAGACCTTCTATCACATTTGAGGTGTTGATCCAGGAGCAAGCTAGAACAAAAGGGTTAATTTCTAAGATGTATACAATTTTCATTGAAAAAGATGTCAAGAAAACAAATCATTAATAGTTGAGAGGGGATATGGACAAAGAACTTGATTTGGATGACAGGTTCTCTGAATGGGAAAAAGGATATACATCTTCAATTTGCCCCTCTGGTAAAGTAAGTTGTTATAAATTATCATCTGACTAAAATTTAGAACAAAGAACTATAATTTGTTTTTATTTTTTTTAAGTCCTATGGTTCTAGAGTGAGTTGCAATAACCACAACAATTTCATATAACATTTGACTTTTGTTAAGAACTGGTTTTTTTTCTTTTTTTTTTTTTCTATTCAGAAGATGCTCTGTTAGAGAAGTTGTAAAGAAGGGGTCACATACTTACATATGTGGTGATTATGTCCAATTTTGAGAGGAAATTATTAGAAGCTTATCTTATGGTCAAATGGCACCTTTATAAGAGATTCCCTGACCCAGTTACTTGTAGATCCTTTTAATAGACCTTTATTTTAAACAGAATGATAAATTAATTGTTTATTGTTGGCAGTAAGACTTTGTAGTGCACATTATTACGAAAATGTGACTTCTCCTATGGAATTGTGGTATAAACTGGATTTGCAATGAAAAAGCTTTCACACCAGATATGTACTGAGATGCTTTAGAGACCACCCAAACCATTCAGCAATTCTGTCACCACCCATCCTGTTGCTTTAGAACACTTGAGGCACCTTTTGCTGAGCAACTATGGTTCAATTCTCTGACATCAGTAGCCTGATGCCAACAAACAAAGTCTCATTTTGGATCTTATCAGCCAAATTACTCTTAAAAGAATACACCAAGGGTATGTCTAGACTACATCTCTCTTTCGACAGAGGGATGTAAATTAGACACTTCGAAATTGCAAATGAAGTGGGGATTTAAATATTCCGCACTTCATTTGTATAATCATGTAATGGCGCTCTTTCGAAAAAGCGCTATTTCAAAATTGAAACCACAGTCTAGTCGCAGTTCATTCGAAAATAGAAGCCTTTTTCGAAAGATCCTGTAAACCTCATTTTTTGGACTGTGGTTTCAATTTCGAAAGAGCACCATTACATAATTATGCAAATGAAGCACGGGATATTTAAATCCTGGCTTCATTTGCACTTTCGAAGTGCTTCATTTACATCCCTCTGCCGACAGAGGGATGTAGTCTAGACACACCCCAATAGTCCTCCTCATCATTGGGCTCTTCAAATATGTCCTCCCCACATTCTTGATTACCAGACACTCGGAATATTTCACTCCAGGCTGTCACCCAGGAAGTCATGAAACCAGCCTGCCAGTGACCAGCTCACTGTTGGCATGTATATTCCATGCAGTTTGTGCACCGGAGATCTGCTTGGGATAAAAATAAGCAAAAAGCGTATACATAAACTTATTTAAAAACTTATTTATAAAAAATCCCGCAGGTTCAAAGATGAAATAGTAAGGGAAAACAAACATATATGCATTACACAGAAAATAAAGATGCACATCTAGTTTTAAACTTTCATATTAGCTAACATCCCTTTTCTAGTAAGAGTAACCTATTGCCATAAAGCAGTTCTCCAGCATTCCCTCTTAGCTATCAGAGGTAGCCAGGATTGAGAATCCTGCTTTGAGGCTAACCCCAAGTTCTCATTGGTCTTTATTTTAAACCCTTTTCATTTTGAAAAGGTTTTCCTTTTTTTCATTACTATAGGTATTCAAAGATGGACATTTTCTTTTAAATTCCAACTGTACCTCTGCTTTGGTTCCATATTGTTTTTTGTGGGCTGACAGTGGTTAGGAACTCAAAGCCAGAAACTCCCTTGCCTGATTCCTTTACAACGCTGTTGTGAGGTGATGCTAATGTTGCATTACAATTTTCTGTATGTACACCTTCATAACCATAACACATCTCACAATGATTGTTAAGTTCAGTGCATTATAAGCTTTCCTAAAAGATCTTACTTGATCTATGTCTTACAGGAAAACAACATAGTATTTAATCAGTTGGTTTAATTGTTTATATTTTGGGGTTTAATTCTTCTGTTCTCCCAATGGGGTGTTTGGACCCTTATTGTCACACACACACACACACAAGACAAAACATCTTATAAATTTGGTCTCCCTTTTTAGAATACTCTTGGGAGGAGAGCTCCCTAGACAGTAAGCCAGATTCTCTGAACACTATCTTGATCCTGAATAAGCAACATATGATGTATTATGTTAACATTTTATTGTAACTATGCCTTAAGAAAGTTTTTAAAAGGAACAACAAGTTTTCTTAGAACTATAGTTACATTTTTTGTGTGTATGTATGTCATATAGGAGTGTGTGTGTCAGCATGTGCGTGTGCACTACAAAATACCTTATTTAGATGTTTTTATTATTGCCTTCATTATTATTTGTAATTCTTTCAGAAGTATCTTTCTCTTTTTTGCAGTCTTTAGTCCAAGGATTTTTAGCATTTTTTGTAGGGGAGTTCTCTTCTGAGAAATTGGTGGCAGGGTTCCCTGATCCCGTTTCCTTATGCTGCACTCGGCTAGGTTGCCACCATCTTTTCTTTCCATTTTCTCTCTGTTCTTTTCTCTTTATGCTTCTCTTTTATTCTTGGTTGTAATTTTATTTTCTATTTTTTCTTCTTTTTTTGCTGTCTTGATGGGAACTTTCTCTTACTGCTCTCCACTCAACAGAAGACTTACATAGTGATTGGAGAGTTTGGGGAGATGCTCCATTGATGGTTCTGAAAGTTCAGTCATACATACATACATACATGAGAGTAAAGGAGAAAAACCTATGAGTTGCTGTCAGATTCCTACCCTGCACATGTGAGCTTCCCCTGTGGCCATCTGCATTAGGTGCCACTGTGAGAACAGAGACAAAGAGCATCTCATTGCATTTCCCATAGTCATCCTGCTTAGTTTCAGTGTTTAGAATTTGTGACTTCACAATACTTTCCATTACAGACCATGTATTTGACACATACATGCTTTGCTTCATGAGCCATCAGAGAATATGATTTGTGATTGAGAAACTTACTCAAACAAAATTCAGCAAAAGCCCTTTTATCTGGCATGCTAGAGAAATGGAGGTTTAGTGTAAATTAAATATGTCAGTTAACTAAGAGGTAGTGGTTTGGAGTGTGTGTGTGGGGATGGGGGACTGAGGTACAGGACGGGGCATAGGAGGGGCTGACCCTAGGGTACAGGCTCTGGAGGGGGTTGGGGTCTGGCATAGGGATGTTAGCGATTAGTCGACTATCAGATAAGCAATTGCTTATTGGATGGTTGAGTAGCCACTTGACTAGTTGCTTCCCCCCTCACTTGCTGCCTCTATAAGAGAGAGGTGTAGGCAGAGGGACAGTGGGAAAACAGCACAAGCGGGGATTGCTTCAGTCCCCACTGGTGCTGGTTCCCACTGCCGGCACTTCTGCTTTTGAAATGTAGAGCCCTCCAGAGCCTTTGTACATTTCAGAAGTCCAAGTGCCAGCAGGGAGCACTATCCGAGGCAGTGGGGCTTGATGGGGAGATAGGGGTCACTGCTGGGAAGCACCCAGCCACCAAGCAGCCCCTATTCACACCAAACGGCCCCTGTCTGTGGCCATCCCTGGTTGCCACGAACAGAAGCTAGTCCAGCACCAGCCCCTGTTTGAGGTGGACAGGACTGTCTGCCATGAACAGGAGCTGCTGGACTCAGCCAGTGTGAGCCAGGACCAAGCAGTTCCTGCTTGCACTAATGGCTGTGCCACCGCATTTTAAATGTAGTGGCTCTTACGACATTTAAAATGCAGAGCAGCAGCATGGTTGGTTCTAGAGCCGGCATTTCAACATCCTTAGTCTGGCAGGAAGAGTTGGGGCACGGGAGGGGTTCAAGGTGCTGGAAGGGAGGCAGGAACTCACCTCTGGTGTCCCCCAAAAGCAGCTTCCTATCCCTTCTGCTTCTGGCAGAGGCTCAGCCAGGCAGATCTACTACAAGAAGGCATGCTGCCTTTGTGTGCAGGCACCACCTCCCTTAGCCTTCAATGACTTTGGTTTCCAACCAGTGGGCTGGTAGGGGGGAAAGAAGCAGTGTGCCTACAAAGCCACTTGGCCACACCTCCATCAGCAGCTGGGACAGGGAGCTAGCTATGGGGGTCACTAAGTGAGCACCCCTAAATCAGACACCCTTGCCCTTTATGTGTCCCAACCCTTGCCCCAAGCTTCCTCTCACACCCAAAATCCCTCCTAGAACATGCCCAGCCAACCCTCACATGTGCCAACCTTCTGCCGTCCCCACTGCAAACACGCTATAAACTGGACTTTCTGTGCAGATCAGAAATGCTGGTTTATTGAGCTAGCCAGTGGTGAAGTGCTAGATAAAAGGGCTGTTACTCTGTGTATTTACTGTAGGGGATTGGAACCTTTTCTTGGTCAGGGGCTGCTGACTCCCAGGCAAGTAGATTTTGCATGATCCAGCTCCCCGGTGGAGCCTGATTGTGATGCTTAGACACATTCCCAACAGCTAAAGAGATCAGAATAGCCAGCACCCAACTTCTCTAAACTTCTCTTCTTCCTCCTGCTGAGGTTGTCTTGATGGAGGAAAGGCAGGAAAGTGGGCTCAGACAGCTGGGATCTAGGCTGTTCAGGGTTAAGATCAACACCTTGAATTTCATCTGCAAAATAACTGGCAGCAAATGTAATATATTGCTCCT